AGACACTTTTTATTCTTCCCTCCATCCATAAGTTCATTTTGATCCTATCTTCTTTTGTTCATTTCAAACTAAGTTGCAGACATCAGTATACTACATCCACTCCTAAATACTTTAGCATACACACAAATGTCTAGAGTTCAATATATTTTTTAAAGATTAAAATTTTACACAGTGAATTGCACTAATCTTAAGTAGACAATTCCATGAGTTTTGACAAGTGAAACCCAAACCTTATAAGGGTGTTACTGTTACCCCAGAAAGTTCCCTTGTGCCTCTTAAATCTCTAACACACTAGAGGCAACACTGTTCTGGTTTTTCTCACCATAGGTTAGCTTTGCTTGCTCTAGAACTTCGTAAAAATGGAATCATATGGTGTATATGTACTCTGTTGTGATCGGTTTCATTCAATCCACTTCAGATAGTAAGATTCATGCTCTTGAGACTCATGCATGCTGGTGTATTTCATAAGTTTGTTCTCGTTTGCTAGGTACAAGGCCATATACTGTATGGGTGCCTACCATTTACTCATCCATTCACATGCCGATGGCCATTTGGTCTAGTTCCACTTCTCAGCTATTATGAATAGGCTGTGAGACCATTCCTGTACAAGTTGTTGTTTAGGCATATATTTTTATTTCTCTTGGGTAGGTATATGTTAGATTGTTAGATCTTCTGATGCAGTCTATTTTTTATCTCCCCTATTTTAAAACACTGTTCTACTTCTTGCCTTTTTATTTTTTTCGACAGCACATCTTGGAGATTCTTCTAACTCAGCATATGAAGAATGTCTTACTAGTTCCTTTCCACAGGAGGGAGGAGCTATAATTTAGCCAGTCTCTTTCTGATGGGCATTTAGATGTATCTCTGAGCTGGGCTTTGCAGGATGAAAGAAGTTTGTCAGGTAGACAAAGGGAAACGGGAAAGGCCCAGAGGCTTGGCAGATGCTCCAGAACCCCTATTGCAACTGCTTCTAAGGGTAGAAGCAGCTCCTGACGCATTTATCCCCAGGGACTCAGTAATGTGAGTTGAATGTAAAGTTAATGGGCGATTGTGGAGGTGTGCTGGCAAAAGGCTCTGGAGCAGGGTGATGGGGAGTCTCAAAGGATTTGGGGCAGGGGAGGGAAGTGAGTACTGCCACTAAGGGGTACCCTGGGACTCTCCAGAACCAGGCAGTGGTGGGTGTTGAAGTCCTTCACACTGGAGCTTTTGCTGTCCCTCTCAGATGGTGTCACATACCCACCCCCTGGCCCTCATGTCAGGAAGCCATGCTCTTTCCTTGGCTGACCCTTCAGGGTATACATGGGAGGGTCACGCATCTTTCCTACTGCACTTGAGCTTCCTAAGGACTTTTTCCCAGTGAATCACACCCAGGAAGCGCAT